TGTTTCACTCAGGGGGCACATTTACAGGTAAATCTCCTTATAAGCAGCCACCTCTGACTCAATAGTACATTTAATCCTGCAGTTGTCAAACGAAGGTGATAAATCATCTACCTCTGATCAAATAAATCCTGCCTCTTTTCATTCAACCACGGTACTTCCCTTGCATTATTGAGGACGGGGTGTTGGGTTCGGCTATGATAGCTACAGATTGAACTTTTCAACGCTTAAAAATCAGCTCCCTCATCAGCAACATCTAAACTCCTGTTTGTTTCATTTGTGCTGAATCGAGGCCTGAAGAAAGTGACTTTTTTCTTTGTTTTTTTGGGGGGATTTTTCTGGAATTTGGGGGGGGGGGGGTGGGGGGGTGTTTGACTCTTGGAGGTTTTGTGTAGTGTTTTTTTTTTTTGGTTTTGTGGGTTTTGTTTGCTTGTTTGTTTGTGTTTTGTTGTTGTTCCTGATGCTGGAAGAAGGAAAACAAACCGAAAAAGCAAGCTTGGATCAAAATCCTGCTGCAGAGCTAGGGAAGGGTTAACGGCAGCCGTCTTCATCCTAGGGAGTGAATCAGTAGGCTGCTCTGCCCGGCAGCCCCAGCCTCTACACAAAGCCCCATTGAGCCGGGGCAGGATCAGGGCAGGAGGGGTTTGCAGAGCAGTTGTAACTCCACAGCCCGCTCCTTTCACTGCAAAGCCCCAGCAAGGCCCGTTGGCAGCTCCCGCCGAGTTCGCAGGCTCTGCCAGCCAACTGCTCCCTGTTTGTTCCTTTTTCTTAAAACAACAAGGCACACAGGGAAAATAAATACAAAAGCCCCCGGTATGTGTGTAGCATTAAGCTGCAAGAGCCACTGCTTCAGTCCAAGGACTTTAAAAACCTACGGTTTCTTCTACCATGCTAATTTGGCCATGTTGCACCTGCAAAGTATTTTTTATTCCAGCATCCTTCTTAAACACAGATGTACATGCTGAGCCCCCAGCCTTCTGAAGTGCTCTGTGTTGACTTAACTCTTTCCCTCTGGACTCCAGCGACTTCAATAAGATCTCTTATGCCAAGGCTGAACGCTTTGAAAACCCCCGCCCTCAGGTACAAGGCTCATGTGCTCCAACTTGTGTGCCTAAATTTCAGCTACCTATATCTACCCCTTGACTTCCAAATATAGTCTGATCTATACAGACCATAAGTCCCTTGTTTTCAGTAAGGCTGTTCAGTACCTATAAAAAATCATGCCACTTGTTTTCAAGTGTTCAGACATGGATTTAGGCCCCAGATGCTCAAAAAATACAGCTTATATTTAGACATCTGCATCTGTACCACTGGCAAAGTGTTTTTTATTTTTGGAAGCACTGAGCCCCAGCAGATCCCATTAATTTCAGTGAGAGCTGCTGGGAGCAGAGTCTTGGAAACCTCTTCTGGGGAAGCTGTGCTAACATTAGACTCTTGTTTTCAGAAGTGTTGGCTTGAAAAGAAATGACACACAATCAGGAGGAAGGAAAATGTTTGTTTAGCCTTCCTATTTAATGAAGTAGTTCCATGAGCAATGGATCTGGTAAACTCCAGTTTCTTGAGGGCTGGTGCCCAGTGTCCTCAGAATCCCACCACCAAACAGCAGTTTGTTCAACTCCCTCTCATGCTCCCAGCCTGTTGGTGGGACAAACTGCTGTGGTCAGATCCTGCTGGCTGGCCAGGAAGTTGGTTGATGCCACTAAAAACTGAGTGACAGCTGCCTTTCCTCCAGTGCCAGCTCTGTTTTTTTCTCTTTCTTCTAACCTGACTAATTTTCATGGAAACTGCAGGAACTTATGTGTTGCAGACCTTTAACTTTCTATCAAATTGAGTTGAAAAATTGCCCAGAAGTTATAATGGACAAGAAACACAACTAGATGAGATTTGTTTCCTTAGGAACCTAGGCTAAAAGGAAAAATTAATCAGATACTTGTAGATACCTGAAAAATTCAGGCTAGAGAACTGAGTTATAACCCAATTTAAAAAAAAAAAAAATCTACAAAAGACAAAGCCAAAAAAGTTTACAAGGCTGTGAGACCTAAAGGCAGTTAGAAGTTTAAATGCAGGCACAAACCTGAAAAATGCATACAATAGACAATACATGGCATTTTCTTCCATTTTAACCTATACTCCATGTGAGACAGGCAAGAGTGGTGGTGTGTGCGATTTCTCTATATGGAAAGCACCGTGGCTCACATGAAACGTACGATTCAAGTAAGTGTCACATTCAGGTAAAACCCTGAGCAAGGCATAGAAGTGTCTATAGCTACAAAAGCAGTAATTCACACCAAGTCGAGGATCCCTGCCACATGTGCCGTAGCAGTTGCGAAGCCTGCAGTGCCTGGGGAAGAAACAGCCTAACAGGAGTTTTTGTAGATGACATTTGCCATGCTTTTGAAACAGTTATAAATACAACTCAAAAAGCCATAAATTCCATCTGTGTTCACAGCTGAAGGAAGCACCAGTATCTCAGTCTCTTTCATGAGACGGGAGAAAATGTCAGGGGAGAACACTGTGATTTTCTAGAAAGCAAGAAAATGAGGAAGAGTAATACATGGCAAAAGCAGTTCAAGTATTTTTTAAAAAGGACGCTTGGGAAATTAAGCCTATCAGGGCAGTGGAACTATATTAAAAAATGTAGGAAATGCCCCATCTCAGGATGAGAGCAAGAGCTGCCAGGCTGAATCGGTGGCCTTGTATTGCTCTTTGAACCATGATCACGCTGGCTGTGGTCTCCCAGGATGTGTTTTTGGAACAGACAACCCAAGTTGTAAGATGGGAGGAGATTTATTCTCCTTCCCCTTTTATCTTTTACATAAGAAGAAACTGTTGATATGAAATTTTGCTACTACATCTTCCAAACAAGATATAAACAGAAGTTGTATATGCCAGACATAAGGGCTCAGCTGCCCTTGCTGGCAGGAAATATCATTAACAGCTTTGGCTGTAGATAGCAATGCATTAGGCAGTTAACGTATCTTGGGGGATGGCGGTGCTGAGATGTTCAGGAGAGGAACACAAGGCAGGTCCTGGGGTGGGCTGGGACAAGATGCAGGAGTTTCATGAACTCCCTGCGTGATCCTTCCAAACGCTTTTCTCCAAGAATTTCAAGGAAAATCCCCAAAGACCAAATTTTTACGAAGAAGCAATCTTACGGTATTTCATTTTGAAAGCTGTCAAATACAGTGCTTCCAAAACACACTGCCGTGGCTGTCAGGGATGGGTGGCTGTGGCACGGGGTGTCCTGGGTGCCCTGGCTGATGGGTGCGATGCCGGCTGTTACAGGGCAGCAGAAGGGCTGCCAGGGCTTCCCTCATCTCTGCCCATCTGCTCCCTGGGCTGCATTGGATGGAGAAGCCGGGAAAGCCTGTGGACAGTCTCCCAAGCTTTAAGGCTCTCCGAAACCTTTCATTCTGCCCAACAAATTGGTAGGATGCAGCAAAAAGCAGCCTTGGGGCACTGGCTCCCAACGGCCCAGGCTCCCTAGTCAAGCAAGAGGTCCCCCCATCTGCAGGAAGCTGGCAAACCCTCCACCACTGCAGCACTGATGCCTTTCCTGCACTTCTCCCATGCTTGTGACCAAGCAGTCCAGTGCTAAAACTGGGAATAAGCCCGCAGCAGATTTCTACCCTCCAGTTTCAGTAGCTGGCCACGTTTTAACCCCTCTCTAGGTTTTAGGTTAGCAAACATCACATGAAACCTGGCAAAACCACATTTTTTCCCCCATCTTCTCTCAGGGCAGTGATGGTGGTAGTAACGTGACTCTGAGGGATTCCTGCCCCACTGAGTTTTACTACCTGCTTGTGTTTATTCAATTTGATGGCAACATGGAACAAGCTTTGGCTAGTCTCAAGTGACTCACTAGATTACCGAGAGCTGTTCAAAGAAGGTAACTGAAGGAGCAGACAACAGGAAAATTTTCTAACTACAGCAATGAGCTAAGCCAGATTCTGAAATGGATGCTGAAGTATCACAAAGTGAAAAAGGGCTATACGGCAACAATATATGGCAGTGAATTTAGAATGTGAACCCAAGATTTTGTCTCATTCCAGTTTTGTAGGCTGTCCTCAGAAATGCTTAATGTAGGGTTAACAAAAAGCACTGTAATACAGACTGATCCCTTCTCTTGATGGGGGCCTGAACCCTGCCATCCTGATTTATTCCTTATTCATAGGGTGAAAAAAACCATTGGTTTCAGAAGGAGATAATTCAGATCAAGGACTGAAGCATTTGTGCCTAGATTTTCAGTCCACGTATTTTACACACTTCTAAATGCTAACAACAATGCTGTGACTCTGTAGGGATACATGCATTTAAACCAGCATCAAAACTCCTTCATGGCCAAGATTTAAAATCTTGAATGCATTAGAGAAGAGAAACATTTGCACTGTGTTTCTTATTGTTGGTTGCCTTTCTGTAAGTGCTTTCAACACCACCAAATTAGTGCAGAAGTGGTTCAAAGCAGCTAAAGGGAGCTTTGGAGGACTCGGTGTCAGCTGGCATTCTAATGAGAATTAGACAATCGGAAATAGACAGCTCTGAGGCCAAACAATTAGCCAGACAATTAAAAGGCTCTACTGTACAGGGTTTTATGTGGGATAGGATAATGCAGCCGCAATATTTGTGCTAATAAGGTAGACGGATAAGAATGAAGTTAATTTCCCTTCTCAACAGCTAAATGAACAGATCGCTCCATTTTAGCCAAGCTCAAAAGGATGTAATTTTTCCCTGATCGGAAAAAAAGGTAAAAGAAAGAAATAGAAATGGTAGTCTCTGCGTATGGAAATAAAGCTGGATATTCAACTGGTGTGGAGCTTGCAGAGGTCCAGTGCCAATGCCATTTTCATCTGCATCATGGCTAAATCTCTCCTCATTCTCATTCTGGATTTTTCCATATGTACAGGATAATACCACTATACCCATCTATTTTAATATTTTTGGTAATATGTTGCTCACTACCGATCAGAGGTAGGACAATTCTATGTGAAAAATGAAAACAAGGAAGAGTATGAACACAAACTGACACTACCCCCAAAATTTGCAGTTAAGTTCCCTGCATTTGGAGAAATTGCAGGGTACGGCACACCATGGGGTGTAGAGGATGAGCCGAAACCTGGGAAAACCCCCTTCCTGACCATGGTGTCCCCCTGTGAATGAAGTAAAATGGACTATGGAGGAGATGCAGGCTGGAGGCCAGAATGACCCCAGGAACATGCCCAACTCCAAAAGGCTTATCTTTCTCCTATATTCTGAAATTCTATACCTCTCTAACCCTACAGCACAGCAATCGCATGCTGAGAGACAGCCACAAGTCCCATTACCCATCCAGTTTTGTATGGGGCTGGCTCAGTTACTGCAGCATCTTACACTGATGCTTGCAATCTCTCTGAAGGCAAAACCCTCTGAATTTTAACATTCACCTGGGCTATGCAGAACAACTGCAGATGCTACCAGTTTGGTGCAATGGACATGGTCCATTCACCTGGACATGGTTCTGGGCAGCCAGCTCTAGATGGCCCTGCTTGAACAGGGGGGTTGGACCAGATGACCTTCAAAGGCCCCTTCCAACCTCAACCATTCTGTCACTGCGTGGCTCTATGAGGTGCCATGCACTGAGGATGTAAAACACCACTGAGGCTTTGAATATTGTCTCCTGCACTGGAAGTGCCACCACTGGGAGGGAGGGCTGGGAGTGTGCAAAGTGTCTAGGAGCCCTGTTCAAGAAACACACACACACACACACACAGAGCCGTTTGAGGTTTCTGGTTCCCTGTACTATCTTCCCTTCTCCTTCAGACAGCACAGGCTGCTGCCAGAGCTTGCCATCATGCTTTACATTAGGTTACTGGCTTCTGTGGTGTACCAGCAGTCATGTGTTGCTATTTAGCAGAGCGCACCACCAAAACAGTGAAAACGAGCTATTTTGGTTTGGTGTCTAAAAGACCAGAAGGAAGTTGTCATACACGGGATAACTGAATCCACAGGAAAACAAGCCACTTGGAAAATGAGCCGTTGGTCCATTTTACAGTGGGGCACACTATTTTTCTGCTGTGATGGTAGGGTTTTTGTATCTTTGAGGTTTACTGCACATGCACAGGATAGGTCAGACATGGCCAGCTTTCCACGCTGCCCCTCTCTCTCCTCCCTCTTCCCCAGAAAAGCCATCTGAATGGACACGTGACAATATCACACACTCAGAGGCAAATGTATTTACAATGCATTGGCATGGCTCAGTTCAGTCTATAATTACCACATTATGGCTTCAGCCAAGCCATTTCCCCAATAACGCTCAGATGTACCAATTACTTCTCCTCTAAAATGAAAATATATGAGAAACAGGTGACAAGCCCTGATTGTAGCAGAGGGAGCGAAAGAAAGTTTTGACTAATGAAAAAATGGCCCTGACAAGAATCATGTATCAGAACAGCATGGTGAAGGTGCCTTACAGTTGCTGCTGTCTGGCAGGTCTGATGCAGAAGATCACAGAGCTAGCTATCGCTTCAATATATTTAATACAGGCATCTGTATTGTTAACCAAAAAATCTTCTTGGCCACTGGAAACTGGAAGCATGTGTTTGCGGCTGCATTCCCATCTCACCAGCCCTGGCACCATGAACTCTGGCCAAGTTCTGCTCTACCAAGTGCCTCACTTTCCAGAGCAACCCCAAGCAGGAGGCCCCTTTGGAGGATCAGGTGTACACTGGAGTCCTTACCCCTTCCCCACCCTGTTTTTAATAAGGCTTTTTTGTATGATTGCTCCCTGGTTCTTGCTCTTTTTTCCAAGCAGGCACGCATGGAGTTGAGGATCTCCATGGTGTAGAGATGATTGTCCAGTGGGAGCTGCAGGGGTTCAGTTGCCTTCTCCCTGGGAACACTGACACAGAGGCAGGGATATAAGATGCAAATAGCATTCCCCTGGATGTCTGGAAATTGCATTTTTGACCAAAAAGCCTTTCCCAGTGATCACTGTATCAAAAGCTGGTAGGCAAGCAGTTTTGTCCAAAAATTCCTGACTGTATCATACCCCCTGGAAAATAGTCAGTGTCTTCCTCCATTTGAAATCATTCTGCATTCACAAGCAGCAGTACGGGAAATTTTATCAGGCTGACATACAGAATGCTCATATTGACACTAGTACTGCTGCCTGCAAACCACAGCACTGGAAAAACAGTAGTTACACACAACTTCATCAAAGGGCTTCAAGGATGCATTTGCTCTGTCTGGCATATACAACTGAAAGCTACTTAATTTTAATTTTGTGCTTTATGTACATAACATTCTGGCTAATGACAGTAAGGTGGAGTGAGGTAGCACTGGTGGGAAGGTTAGCAGACTTACACTAATCTGTAAAAGAATAAATTCTTAAAACCCATGTACAATAGTCATTGCCTCCCAGCAAATACATTTAAATGTGAAGACTTTTTCTGCTCTGACATCATTACTATCACGAATGATGCTGTAGCACTTTTACTAGTATGTGGGGAAGTGTTGTTCACATATGACTAATATACAGTTGTTAATCATTTACACGATTAACGTGTTAGTGCTTCCCCCCACACTGATTCAGTCACATTTGTCAACTTGCTTTTGTTTATTTTATTTTAAGCAGCTCTAGCGACAAGATGTGTGAAGCCTTGCTGTGGATTAGCAGTGCAGTTATTTGAAGGACTGAATCAGAAGTCCTCCATGAGCACTGCTGAAGGATTTCACTGAAGATGCTGGTGCAGAGCTCAGCCAATCAGCAGTGGTTTCTGGATGGATTTTGACATACTGCCTGTAGCCAGATAAGACCCAAGTCCCTCCTGAAGTCAATGGAAAATCCTGCATGGCCACAATTTCACCCAGTAAGATCCAAGAATGCCTGCTACTCTAGGATATTTATTTCAATGAAGGCCAAGCCACCCAGCTTTTGTTTTCTATTGAATTTAGTTATTATTTCCTAGGTTTCCCCACTATGTGGCTTTGGCTTCTGAGCCCATCTGCTACACTTCAGGGTATGCTCTCATTGTGATGTGTGGGCTCTTGGCTCATTAACGTGGTGTTATTGGAATATGGCAGCTAGAGCCTTCCTCCACTCTACCGATCAGACACTCCTTCCAGAAGGAGGTTTGCCCACAGCAGATTCAGCAGCCGAAGCAGTTATCTGCCATGGACTGTTAATAACTGTCGGGTTATAATTACCAAATCTCAATATTTACAGAAAACCAGCCTCTCCATTGTGCAGCTAATAGACCAATCCTGAATATACGAAATGCCAATTTGCTATGAATGAGGAGCTGCTTGCTAAAATTCAAAAGCAATTAAACCGTAAGCAGTAGCTGACATTTAATGATTATACTGTTTACCAAGGAGCCGCCACTTACTGGGCACAATTCTGGCAGTGAAGATGCTCTGTAGGACAAAAAGACCTGGGGAACCCTCCTCCCCAGCTACATTAGTGTATGCCATGGCTTGGGTGGGAGACTGGAAAACTTGAACCATTTTCAAACCTCTAGATATAAGGAAGAAATTTGTCACAATGAGGGTGGTGAAACACTGGCACAGGGTGTCTAGAGAGGTGGTAGTTGCTCCATCCCTGGAAACATTCAAGGCCAGGCTGGATGGGGCTCTGAGCAACCTGAGCTAGTGGAAGCTGTTCCTGCTCATGGCAGGGGTGCTGGACTAGATGACCTTTAAAGGTCCCTTCAACCCAAACCACTCTATGATTTGAGTTGCCTCAAACAGCTGGCTGGTAGCAGATCCCACTGCACCTTCTTTAGCTGCTCTGATGTGGGATCAGGTTCTGCACTGAACAGATGAGGTGGCTTCTCTGTTTTCTACTACTGAAGAGCAGGAAGGTACATTTAGTTCCCCCATCTTTGTTCCTTAGCTCAACTGGTCTAGTGTGTAAGTCCTTAAATGTGTTATTTGTCTTCTCTGCATGAGTGAGGGATCTGTCCCTCCACATCCAATATGTTTTTTCATATCAGTAATTATACTGCACACCTGAATAAACAGAAATAGGCAAATATTTTTTTATTATTATTATTACTCCTTAAACAGCCTTTTTTTGTTTTGATGTCCCAAAGCTGCTTTTTTTCTTCCTCAAAGAAGTTAAAAGTTCTATTCAATTTGGGTCAAACAAAAAATCTACATTCAACTTCAACTGAAACATTTTTCAATTGAAAGATTTTTCTTTCTTACTGTTCTTTATTATTACAAAGCTGAGACAAATTTCAAAACAAAACTTTGTTTCCTAGTAAAAAAAAAAAAACACTTCAGTTACTTTGAAAATGTCAAGATATGCCTGCTTTGCCATCACCAAAACCATCTGCTAAATTTCACAAGTATTGGTAAAAAGTTTTGGTTGACCCCAAACTGTTCTTTTTTTGCAGCAAGGAATTTCATCCCAGCCTCCAGGAAGCAGCCTTTATCCACATTATCACAGAGCACCCTGAAAATCATGCCTGCAAGGCTTTCCCTAATACATGTATATAATGAGAGGGTCACCTGTAGAAACTTTACAGCGGATTAAATGCAGCAGAGAAAGTCTGACTGGTTTTCACGGCAGATCTGTGGATATTGTGCTTAATTCAAGGACCAAGACCTGCACAAGAGACTGTGCAGGGTGGAACCCAGACTCACCCAGCAGCCAAGCCATGCCGGCTGCACCCCTACGGAGGAGGAAACCTGGCAGAGGCTGCCTTGGTGTGCTCAGCCCTCCTCCAAACGCCTGGCCCCGGGGGACAGAGGGCAGCCGGTATCTATACATGGGGCATATCCTGGTTATCATTTCTAGACTTCAGCCAGGTCCTGCATTTGACCTGGGAAGTGTAAATCCAGGACTGTGACCCTGAGCTTTAGGAAGCTTTTGCAACCCCTCTTTTCCATTTCTCCTGCTCCCATACGTCCTGCAGCCCAGTCCTGTGTCCCAGGAGTGCAGCCCAGCATCTGACCCTTTCTGACAAGGAGTGGTGCAAGGATAAGCTGTTCAAAACAGTTCCTGTGCCTACTCTAAATTTTTGGATAGGAAAAAAAATCAGTTTTTGCTAATATTCATTACAGCTAGGGATAAAGTTCTCTATCTCTGGGCACATTTGGTAACTATTTACTTAACTAAATGGTGAAAAAGAGAAGCCTCAATTCTCCAGAGTTGCCTCCCTCAGCTTGTTTATCACTGTGT